AGCACTAACAAAAGCAGTCAAATTGTTGAATTGAATCATGGAAGTAAACAAAATAGGAGAAGATGAGAAAAATCCCTTCAACATAGGAGTAGGATTTGGCGCTTCAAATTCCATCGGGGAGTAGAGAAGAAAAATCCCTTCAACATACGGTAAGATTTGGCGCTGCAAAATCCCGCTCGATGGAAGGAGAAAAAGGGATAAATTTTAATTAAGGATAAAATAAGATTTCTAAAACTTAGCCCTGGATCTAAGGAAAAAATGGCCCTAGATTTATCAGCGGCCTTAGAAAAAACTTTTGTCTTTCGCCTATCTATTTCAATATGCTTTACATTATCTGGTTTTCATTTTAATTAAATGCTTTAAGACTTATAATTTTATGATTTTGTTAAAAAAAAAATCTTTGAGTTTTAAATTTTTGGCCTATTGTAATACTTAATATATTTCCTATAATGTCCTTGTTTAGGGTTTGTTATTGTTTGTATATTGTACATAACGATACAATGAATGAAATACAATTTCCCTATTCTAAGTCGGACACTGGTGCTACCGATCATGTCACGCCAGATTTGTTCTCTCTCAGTATCTCCAATGATTATAATGGTACGGATCATATTTTAGTTGGTAATGGAGATGCCTTACCTATTCAGTATGTTGGTCAATCTGTTTTGCCATCGTTTTCTCGTCCTCTTTATTTAAATCGTGTTTTGCATGCTCCTTCTCTTACTAAGCCTCTGTTATCTGTTCAAAAATTTACCCGTGATAATCACTGTTTCTTTGAATTTTATTCTGACTCTTGTTGTGTTAAGGATCTTTCAACCAAGGAACTCCTCCTCCGCGGTCGGGCTGATAATGGTCTCTATCGCTTAGATCTTCCTGTTCGTGGTTCCTTGTCTCCACCAGCTTATCTTGTCTCTCTAGGTCAATGGCATGCTCGTTTAGGGCACCCTAATAATGTCACTCTTCGTACTTTGTTTAGGAAGTTTCAACTCCCTCATTCCTCTGTGTCCATGTCCACTGATAAATGTGAGGCGTGTTGTTTAGGGAAGTTGCATAGGGTTAGTTTACCTTCTACCTTTCATCGTAGCTCTAAACATCTTGATTTAATTTACACTGATGTTTGGGGCCCTGCTCCTATTTTGTCATTCAATGGTTATCGCTATTTTGTGCTTTTTATTGATGATTTCTCTTTATTCACATGGATTTATCCCATTAAGTATAAAAGTAATGTTTTCCATGTTTTCAAGCAATTCAAAACTCTCGTAGAAAATCAATTTGGCACTACCATTAAAAGTGTTAATTCTGATTGGGGTGGTGAATTCCGTTCTCTCCATTCTTTCTTTAAGGATGTCGGTATTATTCATCGTTTAGCGTGCCCACACACTCATGAGCAGAATGGCACTGCTGAACGCAAAATTCGTCACATTGTCCACATTGGACTTGCTCTCCTTGGCCATTCTAGTACTCCTTTTCGATTTTGGGACTTTGCTTTTGAAACCGCTGTGTTTTTTATTAATCGCCACCCTAGTAAACATCTTCAAGGTCACCTACCCTTCACTACACTATATCACCAGCCACCTGATTATACCTTTCTTCGTGTTTTTGGTTGTGCTGTCTATCCTCTTCTTCGCCCTTATAATCGACATAAATTCTCCTTTCGTTCTACTCAATGTGTCTTTCTTGGTTATTCTCCATCTCATCTTGGTTATTGCTGTTTTGATGTGGTGAATAACCATCTTTATGTTGCTCGTCATGTTGAGTTTGATGAGAAACTCTTTCCCTTTAAACGTCCTATTTCTAGTTCTTCTTTGCTGCCGGAGTCTCCTGCTACCCCTTGGTTGCGTGTAACCAGTTCTCCTGGTATGCTTGCTTCGTCTTCTGCGCCCTCTTCGTCTCCTTCTAGTTTACCAGTTCCTTCGTCTCCTCCTATCCCTCCCGACTCATCATCTTTAGCTAGTTCTCCGGCATCCAGCTCTTCATCATCTGATTCCAGTCCTCCGCCGGCACCTCCTCCTCCTTCTTCCCCTCAGCATTCAATGACACTTCGTCCACACCCCAAGCCCAAGAAAATCTTTGATCCCTCGGCTCATCTTACCTCTGTTTCCCCCGCTTTGCCTACTGCTCCTACATCCTTCACCCAAGCCAAATCTTTTCCTCAGTGGCAGAATGCCATGAAGGATGAAATTTCCGCCCTCCTCAAAAATAACACATGGACTTTAGTTCCCCCTCCTTCCTCCGGCAATGTTGTCGGCAATCGATGGCTCTATAAGATTAAGACCCATGCTGATGGCTCCATTGAGCGTTATAAGGCTCGGTTGGTGCTAGAGGTTTTACTTAGTCTTTTGGGGTTGATTACACTGACACATTTAGTCCGGTTGTTAAGCCGGTCACTATTCGCTCGGTTTTGACAGTTGCCTTGGCTTGTGGATGGTCAATTTCTCAGCTTGATGTCAGTAATGCCTTTCTTAATGGTGTTCTGAGTGAGACTGTGTATATGGTTCAGCCACAGGGTTTTGTTGATCCGGTGCGCCCTCATTATGTGTGTAAACTGCATAAGTCCTTATATGGTCTTAAGCAAGCTCCTCGGGCCTGGTATTCTCGGCTGGTAGCGTTTCTGCTCACCTTGGGTTTTGTGGAGTCTCGTTGTGATCCTTCCCTCTTTGTCTATCGCCGTGGGTCTCAGTTGTGTTTTTTGCTGGTCTATGTGGATGACATTATTCTTACAGGCAGCACTTCTGGTGTGGTCCAGCATTTTATCTCTTGTCTTGCTAAGGAGTTTTCTCTTTGGGATTTAGGTCTGTTGAGTTACTTTCTTGGGGTCGAGGTTCGTCGTACTTCCAAGGGTTTGCTTCTCTCTCAGCGCAAGTATGTCACTGATTTGCTACGACTTGCAAATATGCATACTTGCAAACCTATTTCCACTTCTTTGCAGGCTAATGTTGTGTTGTCCCGTTTGAATGGTACTCTGTTGTCTCCTGATGATGCGACTACTTATCGTCGGCTGTGTGGCAGTCTGCAGTATACCACTCTCACTCGCCCAGATATCTCCTTTGCGGTTAATAAGTTTTGTCAGTTCATGCATCAGCCTCTTACTTCTCATTTTCAGGCTCTCAAATGGGTTCTTCGCTATCTTCGTGATACCGTTGATTTCTGTTTAGTTCTGCATCCTACAGATTTGGGCACTCTTACTGCCTTTAGTGATGCTGACTGGGCTGGTTGTCCGGATGATCGTCGTTCTACTACTAGTTTTCTTATTTATTTGGGACCTAATCTCATTGCCTAGGCATCTCGGAAGCAGTCCACTGTGGCTCGATCGTCTACTGAGGCTGAGTTTCGTGCGATTGCTAATGTCTGTGTTGAATTGCATTGGGTGTGTCATCTGTTGTCCGAGTTAGGCGTTTGGTGTGACAACAGTAGTGCAGTTTTCCTTGCTGTCAATCTTGTGTTCCATGCTCGTACCAGACATGTTGAGGTTGATTTTCATTTTGTTCGAGATCATATTCGTCGAAAGTTTGTTTCGGTCAACTCTATATCTGCTGCTGATCAGCTTGCTGATATTCTGACCAAACCCTTGTCCAAAGATTTATTCTTTCGATTCCGGGACAAACTTCGGCTTCTCTCTTCTCCGCCATCAGTTTGCGGGGGCGTATTGTAATACTTAATATATTTCTTATAATGTCCTTGATTAGGGTTTGTTATTGTCTATATATAGCCTGTATATTGTACATAACGATACAATAAATGAAATATAATTTCCCTATTCTAAGTCGACCGATAAAAATATTCTATTTTGAATCAAATTACATTAACTTTTTTGTCTTCATTTGGTAGGCACATGCAACGTTTTTTTTGTAAATTTAAAGTTACTACATAAAATAATACTTTCAGTTATTATTAGTTGCATCATTATTGCCGATAGTAAACCAAAAGTTTTTTTAGAAGGAAATGTTAAAAAAAAAGTATGAAAGTAGACCTTATAATTGAAAAAATATAGTATATTTTATTTTCGTATAAAAAGGTTATTCATTTATATTAATTCATAGCACCGAGTTTAGCACCGAGTTTATGCCAGTGATATACCTAAGAACAATGATAAGACATTAGGAGAAGAAATCCTTTACCTCATATTTGTAATATAATTTTTTACTCATATTCAATTTTTTTTTCAACATTTTTATTAATTTAACCATGTTAAGAAAATAAATGGATAAAAAATTTAACCAAACAATCATTGTGCACTCATATTAATTATTCATAATAAAACAAAATCTAATTCAAATTTTTTAAACTAGTCTTGCCCGCTCAGCGGGCGTAGAAGTACCTAGTAATGGTAATAGTGCATGAAGTCACTCCCCCACCCACAAAGCTAGGTGAACCTGTTATATTAACCATTGGCCAAAATGACCCCAGATGTACAAAAATTGCACGGTTTAAATAGTGCAAATGTAAACTCACAGTTCTTCATCCAACGAAATGCATATTCTAAGTAAATAGGAACATAAAGATAACCTTGTGATTGGGACTAACCAGCTAGGCAAATTATATCAATGGCACTCCATCAAACAAATTTCCATTTACTTCTCTGAAGTTTGCTTCTCATTTTACAGGGTGGCTTAGGTTCTCCTTCTCCTGAATCCCCAACCCTTTTCCTCATCAATCACAACCGAAAGTAATCAAGCATATATCACCAATATTCATCTACTTTTCCGTATTACTCAAACTGAGCATCCAAACTCACCAGTCAATCTGAACAGCATTGCAAGGTAAATACATCCGTTACTCTCCCTAGGAACTGAGTCATGACTTGCTGCCACTTCCTGATCAAGGAATTTAAGGAAAATTTGTGCTTAGAAGCTTCTGGTCACCCTTGATTGAAACACAAAGATCCCCGCCTACTAATCTAGATAAGCACACACCCTGTGTTGTGAAATATTCCCTATGTGTAACCAGTAATCACTTTTCTCATAGATCGGAGTCAATCTACCTGGAAAGCTTACCACTATTTATGCTAGTAAACCTATTTTATCATCGATGTTCCTTATTTTAACAGGCTTCCCAAGCTTTGACTTATCTTCCATTCTAGCTATTTCAATTGCCTTGGCACAAACAGGAAACCCTTGATCATCCCATGCCTCCAAGATTACACCAGAGCCAATGCAAGTACTTCCTTCATAGAAAGCAGCATACTGTCCAGCTGCCAGACCCTGATCGTCTTCCGATATTCTGACCACTGCTACTAGATTTCCTTGTTCATCATTTTCCAGAAGCAAGGTGCAATTGTGAAACTCAGGGCTATGTCGGACCTGAAAATTTTGGTAGACATCAGATTTCTTATGTTGTAAAACACAAAAACTGAAAAAAACTCTCCATGTTCCCTTAATGAAAACTTCTTTTGAAGTCACAAAAATAAATGCAAACATTGATTAACCCCGAATAAGGTTATATTGGAAGCATTGCAACCATGGAAGTTGGCTCCTTGGAAGCCGAAGATTCAAACTTGGTAAAAACAATCTGACCTCGAGGTAGCTTACTATCAAAGGTAATACAAACACCTAATATAGAAGTCATAAGATATGTGTGCAGCTTTTAGATATAAAAAGAGCAGATGCATGTATAAGTTACAACACCCACAAGAGCAAAAAATTTTAGAGCAGCCAAAGAAGATTCACAACATCCCTCAGGAAAGTTTCTAATATCCTTTATACCTTGCACTGGAGGGGCTTTCCCTGGTTAGGCGGTAAATTACTAAACCACTTCAAAGAGCCAACACGGAACAAGCGCCTCTTCTTATCAACAGCAAAATAGTTCCGTGAGACAAAGACTACGTTATGTTTAACATCTTTCTCAACAACATACCTACAAAGAAGAAAAAAACATGAGAACTCAGATGATCAGATTTATAAGTGAAATTAACAGAAAAATGCTAGTAATTCTAATCATTAGGAGCATAATATTATCCTGCATTATATAGTTACTCATTAACATTCCAATCATTAGGAGTATAACATAGTCTGCATCACGTAATTACTTATTAGCAAAACTATTCATCAAAATTCAAGCATTCTTACCAGGGTCCTCCAGGAAGACGTAGGCCCTGGCGCTGGCCAATTGTGTAAAACCAGAATCCACGATGCTTTCCGAGGAAATCACCTGTTTCAGCCTCTAAAATAACCCCTTCCTCTTCCCCGATTTGCTTAGCAATGAATTCACTGAATTTTATCTGTAACACATGCATGACTAACTTCAAATTAAAGTTAACAAGAAAACATTATACAAACATATCAGCACACTGATGTATCAAAATCAAAATTACACCAAGATGTAAAAGAACATTAAACTGAGAGAACAAAGCGATAGTATTATCTCCCCCAAAAAAAAAACATTTTCAGGCAAAAGAAGAATTATGCAGATAGTCAAGGTGGGAATGGGAGGGTCGAGTGGGATGGCTGGGGCTTAGATTGGGGAATTGTTATTCAACGAGGTCGAGGTTTTCAATTCTCGCTGGGGCAATCCACTTTAGGAAAGAATTAAGCAGAACATCAGGCTAAGAATGGTTAGTAACAGTATCTATAAGTCTATTCACAAGCTTCAGTTTTACAGGTAGTTCAAGTATCAACTGTATCAGCAAAAATTCACTAGCATTCAAGGTAGTTCTATTATCAACTGTCTATCGTGGAGATTTCATTTCATTATAGCTGTGGGCTGGACACATATAAGATCGCTAAAAACCAAATCCAACAACGAATCCTCAGCTGAACATACCTTGCCAAGAAAGCAAATTCCTTGAGAATCTTTTCTATCCTGATTGGGAAGATGAAAAAGCTTAGCAAGATGCCGGACTTCATTCTGCACATAATTTGTAAAGAAGAATAAGAATGAAATTCATGTTTCACACGCAATCTAATCCATATGGTGCAAGGTAAAATTCACAGGAAGTTAAGTAATGCTGGTTCTCGAAAACTCTAGTTGATTAATCATTAAAACTACACAAGCGAAACATAAATGCAGGACAAACAGATCCAGACCTTAGGAATACATCCAAGGGGGAACAATAATCGTCTAAGCTGAGACTGTGAGAGATGAGATAAGAAATAGGTTTGATCCTTCACCTGAAATATGAAAACATGCAGATTAAACAAAAGATATATTTAAGGTAAACTACCACATCAACAGTGTAACTCCAATACCATATCTTTTGACAGTTCCAACACAGAAGGTTCTTCTGTTTGATCAGCAGCTCTGTGGACAACTTTTGCATAATGTCCAGAAGCAACATAGTCAAAATTCATGCCACTAACAGCATCAAGGAAGGCACCTGATTCGAAATTCATTCCCAGTATTAGAATGCATCAAAACTCAAAACAGCAGAAAGAACAAAAGACACACTAAATCACAAACCAAATTTAATTCTGGTGTTGCAAAGAACATCTGGATTTGGAGTGCGGCCACATCGATACTCCTCAATGATATAAGATACCTAAACACAATGAAATTTTGAAAAATCCCCTCAAAAGAACACTGTAGCAAGAGCACCTTGCTTAAGAATTTCCATATTCCAATAAAATTTAGAAGGAAAGGAAAAAAGGGGAAAAAAAAAAAAATCTTCACACAAGTTATCAAATCCGTAAATAATGCATACCACATTATTCCAGTATTCATCTGTCAAATGCACAACTTCCAATGGTACGTCGACCTGTAAGTTAAACACAGGCAACCTCAGATTCAACTTAGTCGTGAAAACCATTTTAGCATTTATTCAGTTGCACGATAATCAATACCACTGATTGCAGACTTGGTTTTATTTTACCTATGGCGAATTCTCAAGCAGACTTCTGTTTGTTTCTGAAGTGTTTTACTGCATTTCCTTTCTAAGCCAAGTCTAGGATCCCAAAGATATAAGAGGCAAAGGAAATTACCTGAGCACAGACAGCCCTTGCATACTTTAAGTCCTCTTCCCAAGGACATTCAGACCAAAAGTTTTCAAAATCTTCCTAGATTGAAACATTATCAAATGAGGTCACAACTTAGATATATTGATAAAAGAAATTGTGAGAACAACAGAGTGAAGTCTGCATCGCAATGTCTCATTTCTCGGATATCAACATAATTTATACAAAGCTTTCTGAATTTAAAATGACACGATTCAAGTTCAATGGCAAAGACAATTTTGAAATGAAAGGGACGATATGACTGCAGTCTAAGACTTTTCTATACTAAAATAATCACGCATTTTCCCTGAGCATCCACAACAAGGGGGATTATATGATTCCACGGATTACTTGACAACCTAGATAGGGAATCTTATGCTACTTCATTGACCATTCTAGCTCCAGGGATGATGAAGAGATTTACAGTACAAAAGTAACCAAAACCCTCTTACGATGGACAGATGCACATCATTCTCACAATAGAGAAACTAGTATAAACAAAGCCGCTGGAACAGCAAACAAATTACAGGAAAAACTAGCTATCATAATAACCACAATGTCAAAAAAATATTTGATTGCCATGCTTGATGATCAAGTAACTCGTTGACATTCTGTGTACAACCAGACAAAGCAAAATTACAATTGGCACAGCCATCAGAAGACAGCTAATTTTCAAGTCAACTTAGAAAACGATTGCAGCAACAGGCTTTAGCATCCCACTGATGCCAAAGGCAGCACAATGTTATATATAAGACAACAGAAAGAAGTGAGAAAGACCCTTAAGGGCCTCATGCCAAGAACAATCATTGCCTCCAAAATTCAACAAAACCATTGAACATAACTTGCTAAGTTTGAATCTTATAAACATTTTTTGGAATCTTAACCGGTTTCAACAGTTCGAAAATTTACATTACGATGCTCAGTTTATGCTTCGTAACACCAACAACTGAGTGACAACAATCCCACAAGCAAGAGTATCAAAATTCAAACTCTTCCATTGGTGGATAAACCCATGAACCCAGAACTCATAAAATTTAACAAATTCGATAAACCAGTTAGAGAAGAAAGGTAAAAAGGGGGGCATACTTGAAACCAAATTTTGAGATAAAAAGCAGTGCAAGAGTGGCCAGCTAGATGAACGAGACGAAGTGCCACGCTACTATCAACCCCACCACTGATAAGAACAGCTATGTTCAGAGGCTTCTTGTCGGGCATAGAACAAGAGAGATAAGAAGGATCAATAGTTTTGGAAGTAAAATTTCCTAATTCGCTGCTGGTGTCCGACTTTACAACTGCAGTTGACAGACAATAGGGTCGTCGGAAGGTTAACGGAGTTCTTCTGAGTGGCCGGAAGTGTTGAAATGGGAAATTGGGTTTGTGAGGTAAGAAGGAGAATATGTGTTTCAGAGTTAACGCAGCGGCCATGGCTGCTGTTTTTTTTTCTTTTGAAGTTATGGATAGTTCGTATTTTCCTGCGGATTTTTTTTTATTTCATGTAGTTTGGAATTGGAAGTTTGGAACGAAGACGAAGAACCAAGAAGATGACTGTAAATTGTAAAAGAAACAAAAAAAAGAAAAAAGAAAAAGGGAATTAGGCGATTAGTATTTAAATTTGGGCTAAACTGAAAATTTGAATCTGGCCCAATTCTAAACATAACTCACTCTAGTCATAAACCAATTAGGCCCATCAATCTTGCATTATCCAGAACAAGTTCAAACCTGGAAATGATTTCTATTTCATGATGTATTACTGTATCTTTCTTAATGAGTCTCTAGCTGTTGAAATAGTATAGTGATCTAAGTGAATGAAATTAATTAAATTCTCGAATAAAATTTTATAGAAATATAAGTTGTCAATACCTTAACATTATCATTTTTCAAGCAATAATATACTGAATAGTTTTTTTTTTTCTTTTTTCCTTTGTTTTAACAAAAAAAATAACATTGATGGAGACCTAATTTTAGTCAAAAAGTACACTCCTTTATTATCTCACATTCCAAAGACATGATACAGAAGCACACAAGAACAAATCAAAGAGGAAAGAAAAACACACAAAATTCAACACATATTAGGATAAAACTACTACTACGTACTTAATTACCATAATTGTCCACTAGTTTCTTCACAAAATGTTCACAGTGAAAAAAAGACATTAGGGTTTAGGGTTCATTTCTACAGTGATTTAGCTGCAGAGGGATTGCGATTCATGAGCCATTGAACGAGACCTTGTGGAGGGGTAGGATAAGTGAGATTAACTTCCAATGGAAGCGTAGTCGCATATAAAGTCATGTAAACCGAAGGACAACTCGAATCCATGTTCTTATGTTCCAATCGAACATTCCAGAATCTTCGATTCATTTGCTCTCGAATCGTGTTGATCTGCTGCATATATGCATGGTTGGAGATGCTTTGATCCTTCACCAACTGAACAACGCTTTGGTTCGTTACCTCGACGATCACATTAGGTAACCCTAAGTTCCAAGCGAGCTGTAGTCCCTGATGAAGTCCCCATAGTTCAGCACCGATGATGTTTTTCGTGAGGAATCCAATATTCATCGCAAAACCTCCCAACCATTTCCCCGTCTGGTCGCGTACGACCCCGCCCGTCTGCGCTAGACCACCTGGCTGAAATTCAGCATTAGTATTCACTTTTACCCATGGAACAGGAGGTGGAGTATTAGTATTCAAACTCGGAGGATTATTTGTCATTGTCGCTCCTGTATTGTTGTTTGGAGGCTTATTTGCTGGATTGCTGGTGTTGTTGGTTTCGGGCTTTCTTCCTTCTTCGTTGTTGATTGGAACATTGACAATATTAGGACTATGCTGACCAGTTTTGTTGAGGAACTGTTTTAGCCAAACTGCTGATTGTTTTGGGTATCTTTTTGCACCATCTTTGTAATCCACATAGATAAGCCCGAATCGAGAATGGAAACCATTTTGCCACTCAAAATTGTCTAATAGTGACCATGCGAAATATCCCTTCACGTTGACTCCTTGACTGAGGGAAAGAACAAACGTGTTTCACAAAATGAGCCATGTTTCATAAAATTATAACAAATACATTTTTTTTTAAGACAGAGAGATAATAAAGTATTACCGGATTGCTTCTAAAAGGTATCTAAGGTGATCATGCATGTATTTTATCCTCTTCTGATCAGAAAGTGAGTCCCAAACCCTTGTGCAATCATCATCAAGATCATCGATGCCTACAAAGACAGATTATACATGCGATCATTATCCCCCATTCCCCCTCAAAAATTGTCATTACTTGTAGGTACGATAAATGTTTATAAAGAGATGATTTACCATTTTCAGTAATGTAAATGAGTGGATTATTATAATTTTCTTTGATATGAAGCAAAAGGTTCATCATCCCTTTGGGATATGAAATGTGCCACTCCGAAGCACCCTGCAACAAAAGGTTTTATAACATAATAAAATTGATATATTTAGGCTATTCTATTCCTTCGATATGTTCCAAAAAAAAAATCATGTTTGTTAGAGTATACTGTTTTCGTCTAACAACATGAATAATTTTTTGATACGAAAAGTGTATTCAATTTTTTTTTTTTCATTTCATGCATTTTTTAATTAGTAGCTTATACAATCAAATTTATTTATTGACAAATCAGCACAAGAAGTTGAAGTTGAGACTCACTCTATCTGTACCAATGGGAATCTCTTTTGTACCGTCCGATGATTTGCGCGTTTCTATAAGCAATAATCAATAATTTAGTAAAAAAAATACTGCAAAATCAACTACTTCAAAGACTTTTTAAACTAATCAATGAAATAAAATAGTGAATTATGTAACTTACCATAATACATTAAGTTTTGATCTGTGATGTAATTTCTAGTCGTTCCTTTCTTTGGTACTTCATGAGCCACATATCGCGCTGTATAGTAATTCATACCTATAAAGTCATAACTCCCTTGAATTTTTTTCCTGTCTTCAGCGCTCATTTGAGGAAGATGCTCCTTATGTGCATAATCTCTCATACTTTTTGGATAATCTCCCTTAACTAAAGGTGCCAGATACCTGAATACACATAGGGCAAAACTTTGTTGAGTGATGTTATTTATGTAATATTCTCTCTAGCAGGTCACCGATTCCATTTTATGAGGCTATAAATTACTCTTTGACATCTCTAAAATACATTTTATTTTTAAGCTAAACAAGTAGGACGAACTTGATTTTATTTTTAGGACGAAAGCAGTAATATTGACTCTAGAAAAGTACTATTTCTGTCTTAGAAAAATAGTCTACATTGAAATTTGATATTTATATTAAAACCAATACAAATTCTAAAACTTAATATGAACTACTCCCTCCCATTCTTATTATAAGGCATTTTGATTTCGTCCAAAGTTTCACATAAGATGTCTTTTTAATTGGAAAAAAAACCTTAAAAATATTTTTTCGTTTTCGTTGCGTTCTCCTAATTATGAAATATTTTTAAGATTTTTATTTCGATTAAAAAGACATCTTAGGTGAAACCTAAGACGAAATTAAAATATTTTATAATAAATACGGGAGGAAGTAACTTTTTGGAACAAAGGAGGAGTATCATATACCTACCATCCTAGGAAAAAATCAAGGGCTCGTTCTGCAGCTGCCTTGTCTTTTTCGCTTTTGGGATCGCGAGCTTCCAACCACATCGATACTAATGTGATTCCAATTTTTTTCTTCTTGTCATTACCCTAATAAAAAAATCCGCCTTGTGAGATAAACAAAAAAACTAGTATTAGTCATAAGACCATAAATCACCATAATTGTTTCATTGATCATTTATGAACCTGATACTTGTTTCTGAAGATTTCCACTGCTTTTGCATGAGCCAGAAGCTGGTTATGTGTGACCAGATATGGATACTGAAACTCATCTAACTTCTCCGCTTCCCAAGCCCAAGAAGTAACCGGTTTGAACACCATTATTTTCTCCCGCACTAGTTCCCTGGTGATCGGTGACCGGTGAGGGATTCCGATAGAACCTCCGTCTCGCAGGATTCCGATAGGCCCTCCGTCTCGGGTGACGTCAATGTCCTTGGTGGATTCTCCTGTGTTTGTTCCAGTGGCAAAAAGACGTTCACCCACTGTTCCTAAACTTGGAGGATGAACATTGTCAACATGGGACAAATACGAATATGAGAATGGCTCGTTCATTGTGATCCAGTGGTCAACGTAATCCCCAAACTCCTGGAAGCAAGTTTCCGCGTAGTCACCAAAATCGTCCCTAACAAAAAATGAAACGATTCAATATATTAAATAAATTTTAGGACAAATCAAAACGACTTATAATAAAGACTGGAGGGAGAAATAGTTTAATAAAGTGACATAACTTATACTACCTCTATCTCAAAATTATTGTCCAGTTTAGCTATTCGATTTTGATATAATTTGAACTAAAAATAAAGATCTAAAGTATAATAATTTCATAACGGAGGAAATATACATTATTCGAGTTATAAATTAAAGAGATTACGCTAAATTACTTACACGATTCTAGGATCTAAGAAACCATTGTATTCCTTCTGTAAAGACAGCGGTAGATCCCAGTGAAAGAGTGTTACAAACGGTGCTATCCCTGTATAACATTCACATATATTACTATTTCCGTCAAAAGGAAAAAAAAAGAATTATTTATGTTTGGAATACAGTATTAACGTTTTAATAGCGGTACTTTATTTCAACAATTTTAAAATGGAGAAGTCAATTTCATATTAAACGTTTACCATTTTCTCTAAGCTTTCTTAGAAGCTGCTTATAGAAATCAATCCCTTCTTGGTTTCGGGATTCCTTTTTCCCAGCTGAAAATGATACACCGAAGACAATAATAGTTGTCATTAGAGTAAGAAAATAAGAAGGGAACTATAAATGCTCACTTTTTTTTTATTTGGAGTGGGGGAAAAATGACATCTAAGCCAAATAGCCAGAGGCCTTTTTGACATAATATTCTTAAGGTAATTTTGTTAGGAAATGAAGCTATATATTTTCAATTGGGAGGGAATTAAAAATAGCTTAATTACTTGGGAAAATTCTGGTCCATGAAATCGAGAATCTGTAAGCATCAAAGCCAATGTCCTTCATCAGTTTCACATCCTCCTGAATTATTTAAACATAAGTTAGCTAGGAAATAAATTGTTTGAGGCATTACTAAGGTCTAAACATTAAAAAACAACAATAATAATAACAAAAGATGATGTTTTGAATATGTTTTTGGTACCTCATATTTTTCGTAATGATTGACAGCATCTTCACTATATTTCTTAAACAATTCTGCCAAAAAAAAAAAATCGAGAAAACAAATTAACCATAACCAAAATTAATCGATTCGAAGGTCACACGTGTGTGTTTGTGTGTGTGTGTGTGAGAGAGAGAGAGACCATTCTTTTGAGCAAAGGGATCCCATATGGATTCTCCTCTCCCACCCTTCTTTAAACCACCTTCAATCTGACAAACAAAAAACATCAGGGGGGCATTTATCAACAGTTAAATAGTAAAATACATAGGCGACATTAATAAAGATACGCCTATTTATTTTCGTCGGGTATTTATTTACTTATCATAGCTAAAGAAAATTGTGGCGTACATTAACAACAATTTGGTAAAATATGCATGGCCTCACTAATCAAGAATGAATCAGTCATTTTTATTTTTTTTTTGGCTTTAAATCCAATATACGATAATGAAGTTGTAAGAGGTTAAATGAAAACTAAAAAGCCAGCAAAATATAGAGTATAGTAAATATTCCTTTAAATCTAAACTAGACAATAATTTTAGGACGGAGGAAATACATGATTATGTACATACCTGGAAGGCAGCGGTAGCAGAACCAAAGATAAAATCTTTCTCAAAATCCGAGCGGTGGACGAAAGCGGCCTGAGCTCTGGACAGCAAGTCACCGGCGGCAGAACCCGCCATATGAGAACTACACCGAAATTTGATTAGTCTTTTGTTTTGTAAATTAATTAACTAATTAAACGTGTAAAAGGAGTACAGTATGCTATCTATAGGTAGTTTGGAGTCGGGCGACCTCCCTTATTTATAAGCCCTGCAAACATGACCAAAAAATGAGATGACTAATTTGACTATTTACGGTAATGCGAGAGGTCCTTCCTTTTTCTCAATGAAAATTTAGTGTTAAAAGGAGATTGCTCCTGATTTCTTATTACTCCTTTCATCCTAGAAAAAAAAAAAGTTCAAATCGAATTTTAAATTTATGTTAACAGTATTATAAATCCCAAATTTAATCTAGACTACTTTTTTAGAGCGCGAAAATATAATATTCAAAATACTACAGTCTTAAAAAGTCTTTCTCTACTTTTTAATGCGATAGTTTGGCTTTTTTCAGTTTATATATATTCTCTTATCCTAAAATAATTATATATTCTATTTATCCTAAAATGATTATTTAGTTAAAAATTTTATTTAATTACAAATTTTACCAATAATAGAATTTCAAAGTTGAACAATTGCTTTGGAACAAATGTAAAATTCAATTTGATTTGTTTAATAAATAAAAATCAAAATTTTTTAAACAAATGGGGATATGTTTGCAACTCTTCGTAGCTGACTTTATCTCAGTTGTGACACGTTACATGACTAACAACTATTTTATCTTTTTTTCAGGTTGATGGTTGGCCCAACCACTGACTTACACTATACAGACTGACAAAGAAAACTTCTAATATATTTTACCAAAAATTCTAGAACAACCGTCCATTACATGATGATAGACAAATTTAATGAATCACGTATATGATGATGTTCGCAGGTGAATTATTTTATTGTGTAAGATTAATGATTGAAACATTGAGTATACTAATCAACAGAATTAAATTAATTAATTGAAGAATCAATGACGATTCACTGTCCATTGAAATAAAAATTCATTCTTTGTTAGACTTGTAGGGATCAATTAACACGTAATGAAATGTTAATCGCCCCTTATATGATAATCTATTATTTTCTCCGTCCCACAAAAATAGTCCATATTGAATTTTGAATTTTGTATTGTATTTGGTATAAATTTGACAATTTAATGTGGACTATTTTTTTTGGACGGAGATAGTAACATGTATCATCCTCACGTGAGCGTTGACACCTATTCTTTCTACTTCAGTTTCTAAAGTTCAGGGTGTAAATTATTTACTTTCGAAATATCCATATTGTTATTATAACTTTGAAATACGTGTTTTTGTTTTTTGGGTCGTACGAATCACCCAGTGCCAAATTTAAGAAAATTGAAAAAACCGCTGGTTTCTTATTTTTTCTATTTTTTCAGTATTTTAATTAATAAATGTCCCATACATTATTTTTCATTTTCAATAGAACAAACATTTAAAGACCCACACTAAAAAAACAATCTAAACATAGCGTGTCTAAAATTTTCACATCTGAGGTATGTTTGAGCCTGAAAAATTATTGTGTACATCTCATGTATCCTTGTTCTTAGTGCAGCAAATACTAGTACCCCCTATTTTATTATTAAAACCCCCTTAGGAGTTATAACTTTTTCTCAAAAACTATTATTTTGCCCTATCTATTGTGTCTGGCTGTACAATCCCACGTGTTACAGCATCTGTATACAATATTAATTTTGTAATTTAAAAACCATTATTCTAATTTCTTTCTAAAACCCAATAAACACATGATTTCATGAGGTTAACAATTGTCTTATCAATAAGAAAGTTTTTTTATTTTCTGTCACTTTATTGTTTTAGGATTTTCTTTATTAGTTATCTGTTCTACCGCTACCATTTATAAATCACAATAGAAAATCGTAAGTTTCACATTGATGAGACTATGAAGTATTCTAGGTCTAATTTCTGACACTAACAAACACATAATATGATCGGTATCAAAACTCATTCACATTAGTCGACCAAAGTAGGCTATATATACAAGTACAAGGCAAACTAGCTAGGATTTGCCCTAGATGAAGTATAATGACAAATTTATCCTCATATATATATACTCTAATATCCCCTCAAGTTGGAGCATGTGGATTCCGAATGCCCAATTTGGACAAGAAATAAATCAAATTGATGCTGGCCCAAAGCTTTGGTAAAAATATCCGCCAATTGACACTGGGAAGACACATTACATGGAGAAATAACCCCTGGACAAGCGCATCATGAAAGAAATGACAATCCACCTCAATATGCTTAGTTCGTTCACGAAAGACTGGATTCGCCACAAAATGAACAGCCAATTGACTGTCAAAGTAATGGCGCATGGGTTTAGAATATCCAATGCCAAGACTCAACAACAGAGCCTTCAACCACTTCAATTCACAAATTGTAGAAGCAATAGCACGATATTCTGACTTAGCAGAGGCATGAGACACAATCTGCTGCTTCTTAGTATGCCAGGAATGGGAGAATGACCAAGCGTGATGAACCAACCAGTAAGAGAACGTCGAGATAACGGGCAACTAGCCCAATCAAAATTACATCAACCATACAACTTAAGAACACTAGCATCACGAGACAAAATCCCTTGACCAGGATTGTGCTTCAAGTATCGGACCACACGAAGAGCTGCATCCCAATGAGCCTGATCAGGGTTCTACATATGAACAGAATATGAAAGATCAAGACAAGTGACTGTCAATTAGATCAACCGACCAACCAACCGATGATACTAGAATCTAAAAAATGAGAACCTTCAGCCTGGAGAAGATGATGATTTTGGTCCATAAACAAACAGCAGGTTTGGCACCCAACAGTCCAACCTCAAAAAGAATATCCAAAGGATACTTCCTTTTACATAGGAATATCCAACATGCATTATGTGTCACCTCAAGATCTAAGAAATGTCTGAGAACCACAAAATCCTTCATATATTTAAAATCAGAAATGGCAACACTGTCATTACCACCAATCATAAGATCATCAACGTACACTAGAATACTAAGAAAAATAGTACCACGATGCAGGGTAAACAAAGAGTAGTCTACGTAAGACTATACAAAACCATACCGCTTTAAGGCATCAGCCAACTTAGCAAATCAACAACGAGGTGCATGTTTAAGACCATACGGGGACTAATGGAGATGACACCTGGCCATGAGAACTAGAACGAAATCCTGGTGGGAATTTCATATAAACTTCTTCATGTAAATCATTATGAAGAAAATCATTGTGGATGTCAATTTGATGTTCCTAACAGCAGCAATAGCCAAAAATGTATGAACTGTCACCATTTTGGACAGGCGCAAATGTCTCTTGGTAGTCAATTCCTTCAACCTAATTATTACCAAGAATTACCAAATAAGCTTTATATCACTCAACAAAACCATCTACATAATACTTGATTTTAAAAATCCACTTACAACCAATAGTCCATTTGCCAGGAGGAAGAGAGGTAATCTCTCAAGTTTTATTATCCTCCGGGCACAAATCTAATTATGCAGGGTAGAACACTATTTTTTATCTTGCATGGCCTCACGAAATGTACGAGGCTCAACACTGGAAGTAATTGCTGCCAAGAAAACTGGATGATGTGGTGAAAATAAATTACAGTTTACAAATTGTGTTATAGGATGTGGAGAACCAGAGAACATTGATAGAGTAGGGGAAACAATAGTGGGAGGGACATGACAGACAGTATGGTACATATATATGATCACTAAGACATGTAGATGGAACCTTAGTACGATGACCATGACTCAATAATTCAGTGGGTTCAGAAGAACTAGGAATCCCCTCTTCTCCCCCTCACCTGTCGGTGGAATGCTTAGGATTAGGATAAGAGCCAGAGATAGGAGGACTAGAGGGGTCAGTCAAAACTGGCGTACTATGAACCAAGGGAACAACATTCACGTCACCATCATCAATACTATCATCATCACGAACAATAGGTAATGCCATATCAAATACACCCGGAGAGGATGCCAAAAGACCAGAAGGAGCAATCATATATGGAAATTCATTTTCAATAAATTATCACATCGCAAGAAGCAAAATTTTTTCGTAACTCAAGATTATTAACCAATCATTCTTTCTTGCCAAATGGATATCCCAAAAAGATACATTTACAGCTACGAGAAGCAAATTCATCACCTCAGTAAGCCGAATTATGCACATAATAAAGGCAACCAAAAACATACAAATGTTGAAGAGAATGAGATTTTCTATACGAAATCTCAAAGGAGTTCTCCCATTTAAAACTAGAGTGGGAATCTGATTAATAAGATACCCGTAGTTAATGCACAGTTTCCCCAAAACTCAACAGGCATATTAGCTTGAAAAAGTAAGGCATGCACCACATTGAGAATATGTTGCGTGCAACACACTCATTTTGTTGGGAAGTGCCAACGCAAGAAGTTTCATGCTCAATCCCATGTTGACAAAAATAATCACCCATAGACAAAATCTCATAACCATTTTCAGTTCGCACAACCTTCACCAATTTGCCAAATTGTCTATGAACCATGACAAAAAATTCACACAACTGAGCTACCACATTTTTCTTATCTTCAAGCAGATAAATCCGAGTGGCATGAGAAAAATCATCTACGATGATAATAATATATATATATATATATGTATCTACCACCGCAGATTGCAGGAACACGATACGGTCCCCAAAGATCACAATAAATCAAACGAAAAAATATGTGCTTTGATGAGAGCTAAGGAAAACTGTCTCTAGATTGTTTTACACAGAGACAAATATCACAAGTTTTATTTAATGCAATACGACTACTGTTAGAGTTAATAAAATATAACTGCTGCAGAACCTTAGAAGATGGATGTCTAACCACTAATGCCATAAATGAGAAGAACTAGCTGTCTTAGCCCTGACTGCCCTCGCAACAACTGTCCCGCAAAACAAAATAGAGGCCTCCAACTATTCACCCGCTCCAATCAGCGTCCTCATAGGACGGGCTTGAATAATCCAAAATATCTTAGTAA